GGGAAAGATACTGGTCCCAACAGCATCAGGGAGCCTGTTTGTGCTTGCTTCATTGAGGAAATTGTTCCGGAACAGCTGTTCATCCATGTGAAAATGCAAACCCTTGAGTCCTGGCCAAGGTCAGCAAGCCCTGGGTCGTTCTAGCAAAGCAGGCCAGTTTGCCCTTTAATTATCTCTCCTTTTCATTTGGTCATACCTCTTGCTTCATAGATCTACTTCCTGAGAAGCACCCTGTGTGAAAGATCTGCTATTAGTTTTGTTGTGAATCCAAGGGAGGCATAGTATTTTTGTCATGGATTACTTAACTAGGTAACTGTTGAACTTTATAATGCATTTACCTGTCTGGATTGTATGTTTTTCTTAGCTAGTGCAGTAGTTTCTAGTTATTAAAATGTACAGGATTCTTAAACTTCAGAGTAAGTGGTGTTTCCCTGGTAATGCAGATATTGCAGTGTGAAATGGTAAGTTGGTATGTGATTGCTAGAAACAGGGTTGTGAAATTCCTGAACTTCAGAGAGTTTTCAGTAACAGGTCTCAGAATGGGAACTTCGTTACAATGCCTGGTAGGGTTTGCTCTCATTAATAAGCTATGCAAAACAGTAGAAACACAGAGCTAAACATATGCTCATAGGCTGGATGTGGAAAATATTCTACAGTGGACATAGTTTAGTAATAAAGAGAGAAAGGCAATGCTCTGTAAGCACTAAGGAAAGGAAAACAGTGTAGTGGAATTACTTCTTTGCCCTATAATGCTGTGTGGAAAGAAAGAAACAGGAAAGATGCATCACTATATCTGGAGGAACTGAATTGTCAGATTTTGGTTTCTATAAGGAAAAAACCCAATTAAACTAAAGTGATCTTTAATTCATGCATAAAAGGTCAATCGGGAACAAGAAAAAAATCTACTTATGCCCAAACTGGTTTTATACAAGAATTTTGGAAGTGCCGTGGATTGCAAGGCTATAATTAGCCTTGAAAACCTTGGGACAGAAGTTCCTCAAGTAGATTGCAAAATGATTTCTGAAAGAATAAAATTGGCCAGAAGGACTGGCAATCTCTTTGAGACAGAAGCATCCCCCTGGCAGGGTTAGTGGGAGGCAGAGATTGGAAAGGAGACTTACTTTTATCTGCAGCTTCACACAGTAAACCACAATGCAAGAAGGAATAGAATAATTTGTTAGATGGATGTGTGCAGGTATTCTTGAAAAGGTAATAGATTTGCAAAATCTTCTTGGTCATCTAAAATGGTTAAAATAATTTGTTGCCATGTCATCAGAGGAGTGACAGAGCAGCATGAAGGTGGGAACATGTGGCTTGGAAGAGGAGGACAGGCTCTTCTGGGGTGTCAAGCTGTTAATTAGCTCTGCCACAATATGAGGCTGAGTTGCTTACTGTCCCTTAATAATTAACTTATTAGAAATATGAAAACTTTATGCTCTTGCGGATGGGGAAAAGTGTGGTCTGTCACCTCCCTGGCTGGATGGACTTCAGTGCCTTCAGGCTGGTGCCTCCTCTGCTTTTCCTCTTATTTCAGAGGAGGAGGAATCGTTCCATTGCACCTGCATTTTGGATGGAGCCAGCCCCCGCATTTTGAGGGATCCCTCCAGAAGGTGATGGAGATGCTCTGTAGTTATGGTGAAGGAGCTTGGGGTGGAATTCATCCTCTTGCTTTGTCAGCAGAGGTGGCCAAAGGTCTTCTGGCTCAGATTCATTATGAACTCAGGAGAGAGCCAGCCTCAGTGTGTTAGCATATTTGAAAAGTACAAAAGCAAGTTCATTTCAGCGTACATTATCTGTGTTAGAACGGATCGACTTTTTCTCATTTAAATTAAGTTTTGTATTAAGCCACAAGCTTCAATTAAAATTTGAGAAGTTCTAAGTCCCTAGAGGACATATTACTTATATCCATCCTGTGGATACAAGCAAATGAGGAACATTCTTCTCTAAATGTCTGCTTTTTAACAGTTAAATAAAATTTGACATAACCAAAAACACTAAAAAAGAACCAACAAAAAATCAAAAACCCCGACAAAAAACCCAAACCCTCAAAGATATGATTTTGTTGTAGTGTTAATTGGGGCATGGTTTCACTGCAAGAATAGTCTTTAGTAATTCCTGGGAGTCATCATGCTGTGGGTCTGTATTTTACTCACTACTGCTTGAAGCTGATTTGATACCATTGATGAGAGAGATGAAATAATGTATGCTAAAGTCATTTGGCTAACCTTGAAATCAAAGCGCTGGAAACAAAATCTAGCTGCAAATCAGTAGGCTGTCATTCTTTTAAAACTTGTTATCCAAATGACTTTAACAGTTTGTGGGTCATATGCAAGGTTAAGAATCATCTTGCATGGTGCATGTTTTGATGATAAAACATGATTTTTTAAATTTTATTTTTAATTGGAATGGAAGTGTTACAGTCAACAGGATCGGTGTGGGAGTTTGATTTCTTCCTGCGAGAAGATTGCTACTCCATTGAGCAATTGGCACAAGGTTTAGAAAGACAGATATGAGGCTTGCCAAGCAAAGTGTTTCTCATTTTTTGCATATAGAGTATCTAGTCTATCTATATGGAGAAGCTCCAAAACTGTTCCATTTTTAAATTTATTTGCAAGTCAGAGTACCTATTTTTGAGGAAAACTCTCTAGGGTCAATAAAACTGTAAGTAGATAGCATTTTGGTGAGGGGCTGAAACAGGTTAAACATTAATGCTTTATTCTACCAAGCAACATTTGTGTAACATATACATTGCTGTCTGCTTAAATAGTGAACTCAGGATTTTTGATTTTAAAATGCCTTTTCTTTCCATGTAGTTGTTCAGGTTTGAGAAATCACTGACATGGAATGAGTCGTGTAACCATGTTAACTACTCATTTTACATAACCTCAGGCATGTTCCATTCTGAAGAACTGAATTACACTTGACAGTCCAGTGTGGATTGAATCCCCCCCCAAAAATATTATTGTTTTTACCAGTATTGGTTGTTACGTATAGATATACTGTCCAGCTCACTGTGGAGTACAATTTGGCAGTGTACATAGACCAAAGTAGCTTCAGAGAGAAATAAAAAACATATTCCTCAAAAGAAATTTGCAGATTTTTTTTAATAGGAAACCCGTGTTTACTGAAATAATATTTCTGTAAAGTTCCTTCCGAACCAGTTGTCACTTCATGTTTTTGATGGGTATAGATAGAGCCACTTACAGAGCCATTTAGGGGGTAGCTCACTCCCCATAATCAATTACTGCTCATGATGAATATTTTTTCCATTCACACTAAAATTGTTGATTATCTGAGGAGACAATGTTGAAAGAGCTATAGAATAAGGTGGAGGAACTCGTGTGAGATGAATAAGGTACCCTAAAAAGTAGCCTATACTTTACCTATACTAGCAATAGGTAGTATAGTACCTGTTGGTAGTGTAGGTAAAATTTCCCACATAGTTAAGCATAGGGAAGGGTGAAGAGCAGCAGAACCACACACCTAAAATGACTTCCTTTAATTAAAACTTTGGAGTTCCCATGTGCTTAATACAATTGTTGATAAATCACTGTATTTCAAATCTAGATGTGACTAATAAAAACAGTATGTGCTGATTAAACTATAAATAACTGGATAGAGAAAACGACCCAGGGTCAGAGGAGATACAAATAGCTCAGATGGATTCATGTGTGTAACTTGAATTTTGAGAGGTTGGGTGTTCCTGTTTATTGTCCAATAATCAGCCTGAGGAGTATTATAAAAATATAGATGGAATAGGGAGTGACTTTTTGATAATTTCATGTGGCTTGGTTTTGCTGATACCAGACAACAGACTGGTATCAGCAAACTTTGTTGCTGGGGATTTCATTAGTTTTAGCCTAAACTTTAGGAGCAGTCAGTTCTAAAGGCTATTACATCCCATCTATGCCTGTGCCTTCATATGTTTTAGTGCTTAGCTTCCCTACCTAGAATGTGATATGGTTTGGATATGCTTGATGGCTTCTCCATCAGAGAAGGTTATGAAGTTATCTTTTGTATTGTTAGTCAAAGCTGAAATTCAATTTGCAGCAGCAAGGAGCAGAATTCTCTAAGCTATTCTTGAGAGTTTGACCATGACTATTTTCTTAGACCATGGCAAATGGACTAGCTAACAGGCTAGTATAAATATTTTAATATATAATAAGGAGGTAATTAAATCAATTTTTCTTTTTCAAAGTAGTCAACTCTTATTGCAAACATTTGTCTGATGTTTTGGAGATTCATTTTATTGACTGCTGTATGTGATGTTCCTGATTTTAATGGCTGAATCAATGAGCAATTGAGCAAACTATTCCCATTTATCTAGAGGCTCTCTTTTAGCTGTGAGGCTCTGTTTGCAGAAGTCGAATGGTTATGGCACTTGCTTTGTTATCCTTTTATTCAGTGCCTCAAAATGGAACTTGCATGTTTCAGGGCTGGATTTCGGAGTGGAAACCATAAGCTTCTTGCTTGTATAACCACATTCCAAGGTTAGTCTGAATAGCTGAGATAATGAATTTGGTCTTTGTGTATTCTTAAATAGATAGATAGTTTTTCACATATGTGACTTTTTTTTGCTACAATTGGACGCTTTCCTTGGGAGCTGCCTAATTCCAGGCTGCACAGTTTCTGCTTTGTTCTCGGCTCTCATGCCTTCGACAAGAATAACTTAACCAGATTTCAATATAGGAATTGTGGGCTGCTAAAGGACGTATTGTGTTACTGCTTAATGCTGTATAAGTTGATCAGTGGGTAATATAAAGTCTATGTTTTAGCTGTTTTATGATGAAAATATTATTTCAACGGAATATATGGTAAAGTCATTGAACAATGATCTTATTCTCAGAGTGATGGCACAAGGTATTTTCCATATACCAGAAATTAGAAGAGCTGCTCATTTTGTTCTTGCAGGCTTCCAAAATAAAGCTATTTTTAGGCTTTTCTGAGCAGTTGTGCATTTTTTTAACTGAAAAAATATCTTCTTTGTTTCCTTCTATTAGGACCTGCAGAGGTTCCCATGATGTCACCCAATGGATCCATTCCCCCTATTCATGTGCCTCCCGGTTATATCTCACAGGTATGCTTTTTGAAGATTTAAAATTATACAAGAGCAATAGCATGAATCCATTTAGGCAGGTTTACTTGGTAGAAGTTTAGTTTATAAATATTAATGAGAACAGTAATACCTTTTCATATTCTGCCTCTTTACTGACAGTACACATACATTTGCACAACTGAGCATACGTGCACCTTCACACCCTGGTATGTATACCAGTTTTATTTATAACACTAATAAAAGGTATGCATGTAGATTGAGCCTATATATATGCAACTTCTTTCCCTTTGTTAGGTCATACTTTTAGTGAGACAGCTGGAAGGGTAGGGGATAGTGAAAGTCAGAGGAACCACTGTAGCTATAAAATATGCTGTTGATCCTCAGTATCTTCCCAGCAGAAATTCTGCAGCATATCCAGAACTGGGACACTTTGCTTTGTTTGCAAGAATAAATGTGATTTAATTATCAAGTTATGGAAAAAACTTTTCACTAATCTGTTTTGGAACTCTTGAACAGCTACTCCTTTTCTATGTGCCCTTCCTTCCATCTTCTGCAAATCATAGACTCTTTCTGAAGGAATAAAAGAAAAAAATAACGGTTGATGTAAGGCAGTATAGCTGTCAACAATACAATAAATCCAGTACCTTCATCACTTTCTTTGAGACCTGGACTGGACTGAAAACTTCATTTAAATTCTACAAGGTGTTTAAAATATCCTTGCTGAATAGTGTAAGAACCTTTGATACATATATTTTGGCATCTTGTTAAGTAGAAAATAGATGATGTTCTGGAATCCCTTCCCCTTCCCAGGAAACATGTGAGCTTGTGTAATTCTGAAAAATTGTGGATGGTGTCATACTTAAATCCCACAAAATACTGCAATTGCTCTGTGGTATTTTAACCTCTGAACAGAGTGAAAACAAATACAGGGGACACTGTGAGCCACCCTAGGAGACAGATCAGGTTAGCTGGTGGTCTAGCTTCCTCCTGCTCCTGGAGCATCCCAAGTTGAGTGGTTGGGGTATGCTTTGAGGCCACTTTTGTAGTTCTGCTGAATACTTAGTGCTTAGTACTCCTCGTGGGCTCACCTAATTTAATAAGCTGACCCATATCATGCAAAGGAATGTTTTAAAGATTTATGCTTCCTTTGAAATAAATTTAACACCTTTTTGTTATTAAAGTGTTTATACTTCTCAGTCCCTCTATTGAGATGAGTGCTTGGGGCGTGATTGAAATGCTTTACAAACCAGAGTGATGAAAATCTTCCAGTTGTATCTCTGTCTGAACCCAGTTCCTCTTTAATGCTTTTGGTGCGGTACCATTATAATTCCACTAAAGCCCTTAAGTAGTTTCTTAACCAAAAAATCCCCAAGCAAAAACCCTCTTCTGAAAATTTTTTTTCTGACAAGCTGGAATATGTTGTAACGTATTCAATTTACAACTTTCGTATGTTGTAAAGTTTTAGGGGAAAAGCACTGTATGCAGTGTTTTTAGGCAGCAGAATATGTGTTATGATGTCTTGCAAGTGAGCCTCTTGCCTTTCAGACAACTTTGTATTAAATGGCATTTGAAAGTGTGAGTAATCAAATTAGTTCTTCTTGTAATAAACGTTTCTGCCTTTTTTGCTCTTGCTCTCATCTACTACCTAAAAAAGTGAAAATCTCTATGATAAACAATGAAAACAACTTAAATTCAGAATTGCAAGCAAAAGGCCATAAAACAACTCAGTGCACTCAAAATACATTTGATTTTTGTGTTTGATTTGTCCCTGAACTATACATCTAACAGTCAGGCAGACAGCAGGTGGCCCTACAGAGAAATAAAGGCAAGATATCTTTTTTTTCCATTTTGTTTTACCAAGCCTGTTGAGCTGCAAGTATTAGCCTCAAATATCACAGTAGTTTATGTGGTGATTGCAACCCTGGATTAAAATAGTGCTTCGTTACCTCTTTGGTATTATGAAAGTGATCAGCAAAAAAAAATGGCAGGAGGTTGCCTGCCCTGCAAGATCAGCCCCATGGGAAGCAGCAGTAAAATAGTTAAACCCTATTGCAAGTTTTCAAGGACCATATTGGTAGTTGTGACCAGAAGCTGGGTTTGTTGATATTAAGATGTTCCTAATGATGAGGCTTAGCCAGGGTGGGAAAAAATCCAGGGGAATAATAGAAGACAAATACACACTATCAGTTCAGATCTTTCATGCTATAGTTTTGCTTTCAAAGGCCAATTTGATACAACCAGTTATTATACATTTCCTTTTCAGCAGGCAAACCTCTTTGTACCTCTGGCAGATATGAACTACCAAATCAGAGATCATGTCTCTGTAATTCTTTGTTGGCTAATAGTTAGTTAAATGTAAAAGAGAGAAAAAATTCCTTGCCATGCTTTGTGTACCATACTACTACTGTACAAGTTGTGGAAGGTGGAAGGGCTGTATTTAATGCGTATGATGTCAGCAATTCAAACAAAATGTTGAATGTTGAAGGAGAAGCTCCTATGACTTGTCAGGAGCCAGACACAACCTGTTAATGCCCATTCTAGTTCCGAGCTGCGGACAGAGCTGCTTCCCTGTTGAGTGAGTCCTATGGGGCAGGCTGTGAGCTCACCCTTTGCTGAGATGTCCACTAGAGGCTTCTTGCCATCAGGATCTGTGGCCCGATGCCGCCTTCTGGCTTCCAGAGCACTCTAGCTCCCTGGTGTTGGCATAATTTGAAGATTAAAGGTCACAATTTGGATGCTAAGCTGTTATATTTGGGGATATCCTCATGGGTTTTGTTTGCTTTTCACAGTGTATGTTTGGGAGAAGAGAAGGAGTATTTGGGATGTTCTAATGAGTAGAACTAGAAAAATGGAAATGTCAAAAAGCACGATGATGAACTTGTTTGCTTAGGGCTATTGGCTGAGGACTGCTCTCTCAAATCTGTAGCCATTCCACTGGAGTTTGAGGAATTACTTGTGTAGTTGGACATGAACATCTGGCATGGATCTCCACTTTTGATTTTATTTACAGAGTTGTTAATATGTGACCTTTGTTACAGGTATCTTAAGGCTAAAGGACTAATTTACTGCTTGGAGCATGAAGTACATATAGTGCTGATTAGACAGCTTTTGTCAGGAAGTAAAGTTGGGGTCATACAACTGAACTATACAACTCAAGCCATGGTCCTGCAGTTTAGTATTCCCATGTTTTTGACAGAACCAAAGAGGAAAGTCTTTAAATTGCATTCTACAAGTGGTAGAAAGTGCATCATATCCTCAGGAATCAGGATTTTGGTCTTTGGGTAGAGGATGTATCCGAGAGAGGTGTTTTTCTCCCAAACTGTCTAGCATATGCTTTTAGCCACAAACTGGTTTTGTATTGCTTACTGCTCTCTGTGTGTTTTGTAGACTGTGATCAGTCAAGTCATTCTTTTAATATGAATGATCATCCTAACACTCTGAATCAAGGAAGGTCGTGCTCATCTCAAGCAAACCATAAAGTGAGCATTGGTCTTGAAGATCTGTATCATTCTAGATTTGAAATACCTAACATTCTTGCCAGCATTATAGATGCTCAGCTGTTTAATTTCCAGGTTCAAGGTACAGATTTAATATTGGTGCTTGTATGTGATGGATGGCAAAGATAGTGATGCAGACTTCCCAGGGCTGGTGTGTTTGAATTGGCATCCTTAAGAAATTAAGTGAATAAATAAAATGTTGACATCCAAGTTCCTTGAGGGTGAGCTCATTCTGTACTGTTTCTGGTACAGATTGATTTATGAATGAACTTTCAAACTAGTTTATGTACTGGTTTTGGCCCACCAGTGGCCGTGCACCAGATGTCCTTGCAGAATCTGGCAAACTAAATGAAATAAGAATTTTTTTATTTTTTTTATTTTGAAGTGGGAAGTTAATTGCATAATACCATATTACACCCATTCAGTACACGTGCATGTTACAGAATGAGAGTGACTGTATTCCTTTAACTGGAAACTTAAAAAATATAGGTACAGTTTACCTGTGCAAAATTAATATGCCTGTGTAGTGCTAAATTTCAGTGGAGAAAAATGAGAAAATGTGGGGTAGTGATGTACCTTGAATATGGGAATTATCTCTAGTTACACTGAGTTTTGATTGCTGCAGTGATACCCTTAATGTAAAGCAAATAACATTTGAAATGGTATTCTCAAAATGTGGCAACTGACGGGGGAGGCAATTTTATTGTGTATGAGTAATGTTTACTCAGATTCTCCTGAAAGATCATCTATCTACCTCACTCAGCAATTAAGCTCCCTAAAATACAGAAAAAAATACACTGAACTATGCTATAAGAATATTGTTATTGAGGCAGCATGCCAGTCACACCTGCAAGCACAAAAGTAACAGCAACAATTTACCTAGTAACCGTATACAGAATAAAGTTTAGCTCTAGGTGCCACAGGACTGGAGATCTTTCTTTTCTGTAAATATAAACTGCTAAAATTAGTAATACCAATCACTTTTAATATTCTGATTGCATCCGGAGACCTCAACAGGGATTGGGGTTTCATTGCTGCTTGGCACTGAAGTAGAGGCAGTTTAGAAGACAATGTGTTTCCTGATTAATTTATGATCTTCATGACTAACGGTTTTAAGCAGATACAAAGAATTGCAGATTTCTTCTTTAAATAGAAAAGTTTTTCCTCTCTGGAAATTTACTTTATTTACATTAATGGATCAAAACTAATTGCTCTATCTTTGATGAATTGAAACAATGTCATCTCCCAGAATGGCACTGCTACAAGCTACCCATTGCAAATTCCGTGAATCAAGAGATATCTACACACTTAACCCATGATGGTTTTGTAGTTATCTAATGCATATAATAAATGATACATTGCATTGCCAAGTTTAATGGACTGTTAAGGACTGAATACCATACTTAAAGATTGTATGTGATTGTAAGTTGAGGAGGAAAATGCCCTGTAGAATAGGGAAATGAAGTCTTAGGGTTTCCTGTGGTTTTGCCTTCATTTGGAACATGGGCACATGAAGTAGCAGGAATGCTGTCAGCATCTGTGGCCTGGGAGGAAACAAATAAAAGATATTAGTCTCTTAGCTTTTTGCCCAAAGTTGTATGGAAGGCTCGTACATACTTTGAGTTGGAATAGATTATCATTGTAGGTCCCTTCTAATTGAAATACTCTATCCCCTCATCTGCATCTTTTCTCTCACTACTGCTGATATTTTAGTCTCATCTAGCAGGATGGTTTCATCAGAAAGGGCTTTGAGAGGACTTCAAGCTTTCGTCCCTGCTCTTTAGAAGATAAGTCAGGAAGAGGAATCTTTAGTTTTAAATACGGTTTATGTTATGTGGTGTTACAGTGCAAACTTTCTGTCTAAATCTGTTCCTTAATGTATTCATCTTTCATTAGAGAACAAAATACACATGTAGTCTAGTCTAGATGCACAGATAAGGGCTTGTACCCTCCTGGAAGGCTCAAGTTTTCTTTGAGGCTTGGACTAGTTAAAGTCATAATGAAAACTTTTCATATCAGGATGTAGGAACTTGCTGTCTCAAATGAGAGCATGATCCAAGCCTCAGAGCACTTCTGTGCACCATCCTAAATAAGTAATTCTGGTTTTCAAATGTTTGCTGAATGGAAAAGGATTTTTCTCTTCTCCAGGTTTCAGAGTGCAGGTTTGAGATCTGGTACCAGGATAAAGATGCTGTGGAGGTTGAACCAGTTGAAAACCAGTAACAGAGATGGGAGGCCAGAAAATGCAGCAGTTAAAATGATGTGAGAGTTTACATCTCTGAGTTTCAGCTGTTTTTGAGGGCTCTGTCTTCAAAATGTAAAGGTAGCAGATGACAAATTGCTAGCTGAAGTTGTAAACTTAGAGGTTAGGATCAAGTATGCTAAACAATTCCTATCCTGGTTATGCAGCATAGGAAGCTGTGCATTTTTTTCTTTTTTTTTTTTTCTTTTTTTTTTTCTTTTTTAATGTAAAATATCAGTTACAAAAGAATGAATTGACTTTCTATAGAACATTTTCTTTGGTAGGTGGCTAGCCAATCCAGAGAAGATGTCTGTGTCCATGGTTGCAACCCATAGCTAACAGATGTAAATTCATATAACCTAAGGACACACATGGAATAGGGAAAGAATTGGGTCAGCTAATACTAGTTAAATTTTACCCTATGCTAACTTGCTCAGCTGATGCTTGAGGCAGCAGTGCTTGTGGCTGTGGGCATTGCCACTTAGACAGGGCTCATTTCTCTTCACCAAGGTCAGCAGAAACAGTTGTGTTCCCATGCCATTCCTTCAAGGTATATCAGCATTAGCAAACTTTAATCTGTGCTTTAGGCTAAGACACTGATGTGAGAAGCATCGCTGGAGCATGGGGTTCTGTAGAAGGGTCTCTTCTGCTGATGCTCCTATGGGATGGAGTATATAACTACAGCTCAGGTTGCTGGTAGACAGTGGACAGTGGCAACATCTTATTGCACATGCCCTTGATGCACATTCACTTACCTCATACAACACATCCATCGCATATATTATTCCATCTGTGTGTCATCAGTCAGTATAGGGAAAAAAAAATAGGTTTTTAACAGCCTTTTTGTTGTGCAAAGCTAACTTAACGTTTCCTTCATGCTTTTCTACTTTATGCACGTCAATGCACAGAATCAAAGATAGTAATAGTCTTCCACAGTTGTATTTTTAAGTTCCAGAAATGGCAGAAGTTTTTTGACTAAGCTTCAAGAAAGTCTTGGCTTCTAAGCCTGGACTGAAGTTTGGCTGATTGACTGTTCTCCAGAAATATAGCTCTGGAAAAATTATAAGCTGAAAAAACATTTTTCAGCTTAAGCACATTTCCACCTTCCTACATCTGTTTTTACATGCTTTGACTGTGGCATTTGGGGCCAAGTTATGCATATTCCAGAGCTGATTTGGATGGACGTATAGACTAGCTCTGTAGCAGAAAAGCCTTCTGCCCTATGATTTGTCTGGAACAGATACCTGTTGTGAACAGAGCAATTATTTTGAAAATGTGTGTCAACACAACAGCTTCTTGCAAAGTACATGTCTCTGCGCACACACAGCTTACCCACAAGAGCAGTGCCAGCTGATTTCCAAGTGTTACTAATTCCATACTCACAGTTCTGTCAAAATTGGTGGTAGGAATTCTATGGGCAGAATGTAAGGTTGGTCCCAATGAGTGCTCTTATTTTGGTGCTTTGTGTTCCTTTTTCAATTGTCTTATTCCCTAAATACAGGTTATTCATTTTGGTTCTTACCCACATAGTTATCACTAGCAGTAGTAAGTCTCCTGGTGATTAGTGTGGCTATCCGAGTCTCCAAGAAAAGCCACATCACCACTATGATTACTTCTGCTGATATTAATTTTAGAAATGTGTTTATTAATAAACCTAAGGACCAACCATTTTCTAGTGGGAGAAGAAATAGTAAATACTGCTGTGTTAAAAATATGTTTTGTTCAGATGCTGTATAACATGCTCATTTCCCTGCCTTCCCTTCCAGGTGATAGAAGACAACACCGGTGTTCGGAGGGTGGTGGTAACCCCTCAGTCTCCGGAGTGTTATCCTCCTAGCTATCCTTCAGCCATCTCTCCAACCCATCACTTACCTCCATATCTGACGCATCATCCCCATTTTATTCACAACTCTCATACAGCATTTTATCCTCCTGTCACTGGACCTGGGGACATGCCACCACAGTTTTTCCCACAGCATCATCTTCCCCCAACAATATATGGAGAACAAGGTGAGCTGGAAGGAAGGTACTGGCATTTCAAACCTGTATTTAGCAAGTTTTAAGGGCTAATGAAACCAAGAGCAGAAATTGGAAAACTTGCCTTTGTCTGCATGGATGGGGCCTCCTTCTTTAACCTCCAGAACAGGGGGGTGTAGCCCTCCAGAGTGCAGCAATACAGGGCATGTTGCGACATTTAAGTTGCAGAAAACAAAATCCCACCAATTTTAGCTTAATTTGTAAATAAAGTGTGGAAAAAATGTCTCATCCCATCTCCAGGCTAGGGACATGAGTCATGGCAGTTGCTCTTGCTGTGTCACGATGCAACACTGTACATAAAACCCAGAGATTAAATGTGTTAGTCCTGGCTTGGGAATGAGGATGGATAGAGAGGGCTGAATCTCCAAGCATGGCTTGCCACAGTAATTTCCAGTGGGAAAACCCTGATACCACTTCCTGTTGGCTGTAATGTGTTTTCTGTCCGCCCCAACCCCCCCCATGGTTTTCCAAGAAACAACAGGCATTTTCTGTTTGTTATTCTGATTGAGGCTGTGGAGTAAGTCACTGAAAAGCATTGTCCGATACCAAAGGGTAGCATGGCAATTCTAATCAGGCAATGAGTAAATAATTGCAAGAAAAGGAGTGAAAAAGGCGTATTTCTACCTGAACTTTGCACTGTTGTGTCTCTGCCACCCTGGAGAGAAGGCTTCGTGTAATCTGGAAGAGTGCGTTAACAAAAAAAAGTAATCTGCAAAGCCATGTGAGATGTTTAATGTGAAAATCAGTTCAGGATTCATGGATTTACATTGCTGCCAACCTACCTGGACTTAAGAACCTTTCTAAAGAATATATTTAAGCCATATCACCAGAAATAAGTTTTGCTGGAGTGGAAAGGAAAAGGCAGAAAGAGGGGGAGGTATCTGTTGATGTTTCTGTTGGCCACAGACCTAATGAGGAATGAACCTTTACAGCTGACATTTAACTTCAGTATACTGGGTGAGTGGGAAGTGAGTAGCTCAGGAAAACAGTAGGACTGTGTAGCCAACTAGATGCATAGGGAAGGGACTTTTCTCTTGGAAAGGGAACAGGACAGTCTATTAGATTGCTTTACAAAGTCTTGCATGCAAAAGTTTCAGTGTGAAAATGAACATAGAGTTTCTAGTTAAGTAAATGTTGAATATTTCTTTAGCCTTGAGATACCAAGAAAGCAGTTCAACTTAAAAACAGAACAAAAATCCTGGGTTGCTTTCCTAGAATGACCTGTACGTGTGACACTGAAACAGTTGAAGTGGTGAATATTGTACCAATGAGTATTAATCCACCATTTCCCAGTTGCTGTACAATGGCTTATGCTTTAAAGATGGAATTTATTTGCAGCATGCTGGTTTTAGGCAGCTGGTTGCTGTAAGAATACAGATAGAATCATGTAGCTAGATAAGGAAAGACAAAGGCCAAGACTCACTGAAATAGCAAAGAAAATATGGCTAGTTGAAACAACCTGGAAACTTAGAGTATACACAGCAATCTCAGCCTACAAACAAGAGTTCAAGTGGCTGGATAGGATGTTTGCTTCAGAAGTTTGTACAATAACTTCTGAGTGGATGTAGGAAAAAGAAAATACATGAAGTCTGTATCAAGTATTAATTGTTATTTTTCCAACAGAGGAAAAACTATTGTTTTGAGCATTAATTTGTTCAAGCTTCAGACTCAAAGTGGAGTGAACTATGGAGAAAAGCAGAAAATGGTCTGATTCCTGAAATATGACCTGCTTTATGTTTAAGATAGTCATTCTTCTAAGAGGGAAGTGGGGCTTGTATTTAAGTGTATCTGAAGTGTACGTATTATATTTATAATGTTTCTCAAGCTTGTATTATACAGTTTTATTTATCCAAAGCTTCTACATCATCCTGTGCTTCTCTCCTTAGGCAAGCACAATTGACACGATTGTGAAGTCTATTTATACTGGGAAATTAAATTGCATGTAAACACTGATGGGACCTTGAAACCAGGGCATCTCAGCTTATTCTGTCCAGTCAGGTGCTGGGGAAGAAACTGTTAAATTGCTGTGAACTTTTGAAGGCTTTTTCCTAAATAGCAGTCTCCCTGGATCTTTGCTTGAAATCTGTGTCCTTTGAAACACGAAGACTAAAAGTAGGAAAAACTGTCACCCTAATTGCTGTATTTTACACATCCAAAGAGTTATGATGTCCTACCAGCAAAGGAGAATGCTTAAAAAATTGTCAGTCCTTCAGAGAAGTTTTCTTAAGAAAAAAAATTGGTTTGCTGTAAAATCTGACAACAGGAAAATCTGGAGTCGTTTAATTTAGAGATGGTCAGGAATTTGAGTTTCTGAAAAAAAAAATCAGTGATTTTGTTGTTCTGAGTTAATGTGTGGGTGAATTCTTCTGTTTCAGAAATCATACCACTATATGGGATGTCCAGCTATATTACCAGGGAAGATCAGTACAGCAAACCACAGCACAAAAAACTCAAAGACAGGCAGATTGATCGCCAAAACCGTCTGAATAGTCCTCCTTCATCCATCTACAAAAGCCATATAGGCAGCTGCGCAACCGTATATAATGGTTATGCAAAGAGTCACAATGGAGCAAGCAGTGGAGGTGGCGGCGGGGGGGCTCCAGTAGTAAAGAAACCGGAACGCAGAGCAAGAAGCAGCCCAAAGTCAAGTGAACAAGACCCACATGGTAAAGACAGTTTTATTTATTTTTAATTCCTTTTTATTGCACCTTTCTGGCTTATGACTGCCTGTATTTGGATTTAGTAACTAAGCCAAAAAACACTGCCACCCACACATAAAGACAGTGTTAATGCAGTGTGAACTTAACTATAAACGTTGAGCTTGCTATACTATATTTGTTTTGTAAGATGAACTTGTTGCCTCCCCATCTTTCTTGACTACTCCCTGCTAGATACACCATCATTCTCTTTTTATCTATTGGACAGAAGTGCATTTTATGGCCAAGTTCTTGGTTTTATTTTGCATTTCATACCAGTGTTCTTGGCTCTTCACAAAAACCCTTACAGAGAGTTGAGCTATAACCAAAACCTGACTACTAGATATTGCTACTTTGCATCTCCTGGGTAAATGTAGTAAATATATTAGAAACTTTAGAGGCACTTGCTGAAAAAAACAAGGTTGTTTATGTGGAAGTTCAGTGTAAGTATGGTTAGTTGAAACAGAAGAATTTTGAAAAAAAATTGCTTAATCTTAGCTACTGGAATTAGTAGTCAAATAAGTCTGTCTACTTTTGAAATAATGTTCTTCAGCATTTTCAGAGAAATACCATTTAAAAATTTGCAACTTTATAGTAAAATATTAAGTTATTAATCTAATTAAATTTATCATGACCCATTCTATACATAGCCAGTTCTACCTATATTTAGCTCAGTAATTTGTTATAATGTGTTAATACTTCTCAGCCTTTCTCTTCTCTGCCTGTCTCTTTGCTGACTGCTAAAGCTGCTGCTTGCTGAACAAACTTTTATGTAACAAGCAAGCTTAGGCCCAGCACATCTAGGTTATTTATAATGTGGCAGACTTTGAAACCATTTGTGTGAATGTATGTATACAACATAAAACATAGGCTTTCTGTTGCCTGTATATTGTGTGTATTTATTTGGTGTGTACTTTTACTTGTGAGACCTGATATAGATACTTACGAAAAGTAGCTTAATTGATAGCTGAAGGGGGAAAAAATGCTGCTGGCATGGTAAGGAATGAGAACTTGCAGCCGTGCTTTGGGGTCATCAGAATTGGCGAGGAGCTGTATTTAGGAATGCTTTCATCCAAGAAAATGAATCACTGCATTAGACTTCTTAATTATTTCTTGTCAGTCAGCTTATATGACCTTTAATATTCTTATTTATGTTTAGCTATTTTTATTTTCTCTAGTTCATGGTGGAATACGTGAGGTGCTTGGGAGCACCTGCATGGAAGACCTGGAGTATAGTATAGGCTTAACAGCTGAACCGCTCAATATAGCTTCAGTTGGTACCGAGTCAGCATGTATGATCAGATTTAATTTGAAAGTATCTAGTTTGAGGGTTTCTTGCAACCCTTGTGTTTGTCTAATTTTTTTCTCTTGGTGTAGTCTGCTGTGCTCCAGCTGACGAGCATGAGCGCTCTTAAAATGCCAAGAAACTTTGTGAAGTCAGGGCAATAGCACATCCAGTCTGTCAGCCAGAGAATGCCTTAAAACTGGGAACAGCAAGTGACAAAGAGTCTTTCCCCAAACTGTGGAAAAAGTTCATAAGAGGAGAAGGTGGAAATAAGCATCAGTTGTGCCACCCTCCTGATAAATCCAGCTCACTCGTGTTTTAAAAATAGGTTCTGCATCTGCGCCCAAAGATGGCAGCTCATCCCACTGTCAGACTGCTCTACAACAAATACACAGCCAAAGCAGGAATAGGAGAATTTTCTTCATATCAAAAGAAATGAAAAATACTGTAGGCTCAAATTTGAGGCTTTTCATATCAAAGCCTATTCTTACAGTCATACATGTGTACTTATACGCATATTTCTGCAGAAAGGTTGTCACAGAGGTTTTGTAAAGCCTCCCACCAAACAATGCCCTAAAATAAGTTCCCACTTGATATTTATTAGCTCCTAATTAGACCCAGGACATTTTACCTTCTCCGTTTCTTCTTGAATTATTTGGGGTTTTATTGATTGATGCCTGATATCATGGCCATACAGGTGAATTGGGGTGAGAGTTAAAAGCAGTCTGGGAACAGCTGATGATTTTTACTCATGTTGCTAAGATGACAGTGTGTTTAGAATAGCCAGGAAAAATAATGTGTCAGAAACAACAAGCAGCAAATGCATTTAAGCTTACACAATCTGTGAATGTGTATCAGTCCAAGCTTGCTAATAGTTAAAAAATTTACGGTGCTATGTGGCTGCTTCCAAAATTGCTGAATAGCCTGGAAAAAACTATTATACATAGGGAATAAGAGTATTTAGAAAACTCGTGAGATGCAAGTAGAAACGTTTGATTTAGAGTAAAACGTAAAGTGAAGCAGAGCTAGAGGGTTTATTTGCATGCATTTCTTAGTTGGGATTGTGATGTGTTTTATAGTATATTATTTCATATCTGGTTGGGGTTTGTGTGTGTGTGTGTGTGTGTGTGTAATAGTAGCTGGCATGCTTACTTCAGGTGGTTGGATGTCAGAGCAGTCCAGTGTGCCAGCTCCTGACAAGCTGCTGTCACCGAAACAGTCTTGCTGCTGCGCTGCCTGCCAGGGAGCGGGCTTTGGGAGCCCTGTACACAGCCGGGGCAGGCACTTGAACAGCCTAAGTTTTGGACTGGGCTTTTCGGAAGCAAAGCATTGGAAGCTGCCTTGGTGCTGGGAGCATGGGTAGGAGCTTGCCACTGGCAGATGGCATCTTGCCCGGTACTGGGTGTGCACTGGCAGTCCCAGCCACTCCTGAGCCAACGCTTTGAAAGGCAATTTGAATGTGTGTTTTAATCAGCGGAATAACATGATCTGCACAGTGTGATGGGGAAGCGGAAGATAGGCATTTCTTTCCTTGGATCCGCTACCCCTGTATTTAAGCAAATGCTTGTCCTGCTTCTTGTTTCTTGGTAGTAATGTCCTTGAGGGGTGCATTGCTCCTTACTGAGCACTGTTTTTAGAGAGTACTGTAACATTAATATTGAAGAAAATGTCCTGTGTACAGTGCAAGGACAGCTACACTTTTTTTCCCTGAAAAGGTTTGGTGTCAATCAAAGGGCATGAGATATTTAAGTTAACAATGTACATTTCCATCAAAACATACACTCATTGCATGTATTATCTCCATGACATTTCAGTAAGTAGTCAAGGAAAATTCTGCCATATGTCAATAACTTACTGTCTCCTTCCAAGATTAAAAGAACCAGGGGTTTCTTGAAAAGCTTATTCAGCATTGATGGAATAAATCGGGTGGTAGCCTCATCCACAGTACCAAAATAAAGGACTCTAGAGTACTCTTGGTTCCATCACCTCTTTAGTTGTGTATCCAGCACGTGCTCCTCTTTGCCACTCTGTGCTATGTACAGCGTAATGGTAAAAATACGCTGGTGGTTCTATTATGCTGGCCCTATAACATAGCATCACAACCTCTTTTTTTGTAGGAAAATTACAATTTCATTGTGGGGATATAAGTTCAATTCCTCTACCCTTTTTCATTGCCAGAATGGTGTCTTTATACTGGGAGGTGCTCTTGTAAATAAAGATTTTTAATTATGTTGGATGCTGGAAATACATATTTTAAAGCAAAAAAAGGAAAACTCATGGCTTATAATTGTCTGAAAAGTTAGCAGCTATTCTAAGTGATAAGATGGGTGGTGTCTTGTACAGGCTGAAAACTTGGAAGTATGATGCAGGGATTCTGATTTAAAATCCCATACAGTAGCTCTTCTGCAGAGCTGTTTTAAAAACTGAATGGGAGATGAGGGAGCCAGGTTGATTTTTGGTTTATTTTAATGAAGGGGCCTTGCCATGTAAAAAGAGCTGTAAGAGGAAATCCTGTCCCATTCATGCTGTCCTTTATGAATTTCAGTCTGAGTCACTTCCTTCTTATGCACTCGGTGGTTCACTTCTTGGTCATGTAGTGATCTGGTAGTTTGGGATGTTTTGTGTGTGGCTGCAAGTACTGTGGGAACATAAGCAGTTTTGAGCATTCCTTACAATACTTTTGCTAATAAAACATATTTTTTCCTTCAAATGAGATAATTTTTTTTTTATTTTTTTTTTTTAATTCTCATTGAAGTTTGAAGAACCTAAGATAGCCAAAACTAAAACACTTGAAATGGGTAAAAGTAGAAAGCAGCAGATGGATTGTTATGTGCATCCTGTCCAGGAGCTGGGTGGGTGCTGGGAACTGGGTGCCAGAATAAACAGACCTAGCCTGGGCAGGGAGGCAGTGCTGGGGGGATTGTATATAACTTTATGTAAACGTTCCATAAAGAATGGGGTTTTTTCATGGTGATTTGAGAAGATTTGTCCCTACTGGGTCAGAGCAGAGGCCTGTCTAGCTCAATGGTCTCTTTTCAGCAGGTGATGGAGATGCTGCTGGGGGCAGCCTGAAAGCCCAGCCCCGCTCCCTGCTCCAGAGCTGCTGGGCACGGTTTATAGTCGTGCCTAGTCCTTTGTAGACCTGTTGCCTGCGCACTTGTCTAACTCTTGTTTTGAAAAGCAGACTTGCTTTTCCAATCTGCAAAGAGAGGAAAGTTGACTTGGTGTCTGCTTTGCTTCTCCGAGCAGCTGGTTCCTTACATGTGGCATTGGCATTCTTTACAAATGGAGAAGGGCGAAAAAGGGATTAGAATGATTTAATAGTTTGAAGAGTTGCTCTAGATTATACATAGGTCATAAACTTTTGTAGTACCATTGTCACATGTATGTAACCACCTTAAGAACTCAAAAGATGTTGCTTTTCTGATCTTGTGCACCAAAGCAGCCTTCAGGTACTCCCAGAAGTGAAAACCATTGTATTCCTGTCTGCATTGTTGATAGATGTTTCTCAGATGATGTGGCTAGCTCTGTGTGCTCACTTCTTTGAGGTGAATGGTTCAAGAACACATGGAAAATTGGCATAGCACAGGACGTTCTAACTATGGTGCTTTTAATTTAAAAACATTTTAAATGTACTGAACTCTGCAAACCAGCAGTTCTGAAATGAAGAAGTAAATCTGAGTGG